CACACACACACACACACACACACACACACACACACACACACACATAGACAGCCTCTTCCCAATATGTGTTTTTGCAATTTACATATATGCAAAAACGCATAAAAACGACCGCTAAACCGAAATTGTTTGTTTCCTTTTATGCAAAATTTATGATGATTTACGGTATTAAGCACAAAAGGTAGGTGTGAAGAAACGTTCATGCAGTTATCTAATTACTTCAAGACTGCTGCAAAAACGCATGATCGCACTGGTTCGCCTGATGCGTTCCGGCCTGGGTTGCATTTGCATATGTGCAAAAACGCATAAAAAATCGCCGTATGGCGTAAAAGCAGTAAAACGTGAACGGAACTATGTGGATGAGAGAGGCGCAAAATACAGTGAAATGCAAAATTTGTCAGTTACGTCAATGGAGGGAAGGATTGAGCGATAAAACAGTGTCTAGTGTCTAGTCATTGTTTCATATAAATATATTTTTATGTGTTTCTCCTCTGCGTTTTTTCTGCTTTGCTCGAATGTGTAACGTGTGTGCATCCAGTTAACAAACAAAACCCTTCCATTTTAATTCTACAAGATTTAGGAACATCTGGGACCTCTCGGCGTAGCACCGTATTCAAAAGCAACATCCGCTAACATGGCTGCCGATAAGTCTCTGTTCGTCGATGAATTATATTATGAAATAAAACGGATGCAACTTCTGTGCTTATTCTTGTATGACTTGCCTGAATGAACTGTAACGTGAGTGTGATTAAATGCAAATTCTGCGAAATCAGAAAAGAGAGCTGCTTACCATCGCAAATGTGTCCATCACCGATGTAACCAACACCGCAAGTACAGACATGTCTCCCAAGACTCACATCGATACATTCTGCATTCACATCGCAATCGTTCTTCAGTGGATCCGCGCAATTTCCCGTTCCTTGTATAGCTAAAAGCTTTTCACTTAGTGCATTCATATTACAATTCCACGGAACCACAGCACAGTTCAGTTTCTGACTTTACACAGTGTAACCATTCCCAATCACTGGCGACGCGCACTGGGTGGGCCCGTACGATCATGCGTTTTTGCAGTGTTTCGTGCTGTAATAAGATCACTCGAAATTTCACTAGCTAAAAACCTCTGACAGACTGATCCTCGAATTTCGGGAAGTTAATTGCGCACACTATACCTGGGCGGGGAACATACCCTTGACATTCCAGGTTCCCAGCTTTCTTAGTTCCCGAGTTACCCATATTACAGCCAGAAAATTTCACAGGGCCGTACATGGCAATCACGCATAATGGAGGGATGAATCTCATGAATTGAAGTTGTAGATGAGTTGGGAACATTCCCTGAAAGTTTCAGCCTCCCAGCTTTCCTGGTTCCAGAGTTAGCCATTTTCCCGCCAAAAATTTTCACGGGCCGTACATGGCAACCGCGCATAACGGGAGGCTAAATTTGATAAATTCAAGTTGTAAATGAACTGGGAACATTCGCTGAAAGTCTCAGCCCCCAGCTTTCTTGATTCCCGAGCTAGCGATTTTCGCGCTAGGAACCCTCACGGGGCCGCACACGCGAAACGCGCATACCTGGGGGCTGAATTTAAAATCTTTGAGTTATACATGGATGGTGAACATAATCCCAAAATTTCAGCTTTCTAGCTTTTCTGGTTCCCAAGTTAGCGATTTTCCCGCCAA